GAAAGAGCTCTCTCAGCCCCACCTACCTCATGGGGTGTCTGTTGTGGGGAGGGGAAAGGAAAGGAGATTGTAAACCGTTCTGAGACTCCTTCATGGAAGTGAAGGACGGGGTATAAATCCAATCTCTTCTCTCTTCTCTAATCTCTGCAAGGCAGGGACCTCCTTTTGTGTTCATTGCTCTTGTGTTCATTGCCCTGTGCACTGGAGACTCTATGCATAATACGAAAATCTATACTTTTAAAAAGGACAGCCAGTGTAGTACAGTGGTTAGAGAGTCAGATTAGGATCTGGGAGACACAGCTTCGAATCCTCACCTGTGCCATGGAAGCTCACTGGACAATCCCGGGTCGGTCAGTCTCACTTTAACTCACCTCACAGATAAAAATGGAGGAAAGAATAATTATGTAATCCTCTTTGGGCCCCCGTTGGGGGAGAAAGGCAGGGTACAAATGAAGTAAAGTGGTGGTGGTGGCGGAAATCTTTTCTTAGCTCCATGTTATTTTGGTGTTAAGGCAGCGTATGCAAGCTTTGAAGCTGCACAGGCTGCACTTTATCAAGAAGATTGCATGGATTAGTAACTTGCGATAAAATGTACACTCTGGTTTTAGACGCATTTGGAAGCGTCGTGGAAAGGGAGTTCTGGTTGCTATGGTAACCTTCCCACGCCTTGTTTCCTGTTTTATAGAGACTCTGTGGTCTACAGCCAAGTCTGGGGGAGACTGTAGCCCAGATATCATAGGAAAGTCAATGACAGAATCGTAATCCACAGTAACTTGCGATAAAATGTACACTCTGGATTTAGACGCATTTGGAAGCGTCGTGGAAAGGGAGTTCTCGTTGCGATGGTAACCTTCCCACGCCTTGTTTCCTGTCTTATAGAGACTCTCTGGTCTACAGCCAAGTCTGGGGGAGACTCTAGCCCAGATATCATAGCAAAGTCAATGACTGAATCGTAATCCATAGAGTTCAGGAACGCAGACCAAGGAGTTTCTTTCTTCGATCAGGTAGGTAGCCGTGACGGTCTGAAGCAGTGGAATAAATTTTTAGTCCAGTGGCACCTTTAAGACCAACAGAGTTTAATTCAAAGTATAAACTTTCGTGTGCAAGCACACTTCTTCTGCAGATATCTGAAGAAGTGTGCCTGCACACGAAAGCTCATACCTTGCATTAAACTTCGTTGGTCTTAAAGGCGCCACTGGACTCACACTTTTGTTGCATTTCTTCGATCAGGACCCTCTGGTCGGGACAGACTTCCTGTTCTCTATGGTTGTGCTCCGCTTCTTCTCTTCCCCACCGCGCTCCTCTCCAGGAGGTCGAGGTCGGGCATTCTCTCTGCTGCCCACTTGGCAGGCCCTGCTGCCATGGGGTCCACACAGCAAGTGGTGAAGACGATTCTGGGCATGGTGGGGACCATGGGACTCGGGATTGCGCTCTGGGTGGGGATGACGCCCAACGAGGAGCAGATGAAGTTGAGAGCAAAGGTGGGCAGGTCCTGCGGAGCGGCCGCAGAGGTCGGAGCCAGCAAAGGCGGAGCTGCAGAGCGCCAAGGGCTAGAATTGACTTAGGGTTGCCGATTCTGGGTCCGAAAATCCTTGGGGATTGGGTTTGGGCAGGGAGCTCAGCAGGGTATAGTGGAGTGCACCCGCCAAAGCGGCCGTTTTCCCCAGGGGAACAGATCGCAGTAGTCTGGGAAGCAGCTGTTATTCTAGGATATCTCCTGGCTCCACGTGGAGGTTGGCAACCCTGCTTATGCCGGGGAGACAGCCTTATGTGAGGGAGTGGTGGACCACTTGCTTTGCAGACTGAAGATCCCGAGTTCAGTTTGTGGCAACTCAGGGCTGAGAGACATCCTTTAGAAAGTCGTTGCAAATTGGAGTACAGCACATCAAGCAGAACAGACCAATAATACAATGTGATGTGTAAAATTAAAGTGGTGACAAGGGAGGTGTGTGTTCTCTAAAATTCTGCTAAAGCTGTATTTTATGTTGGTTTTTGTTTCTTACATTTTTGATTTCACCATCCTTTGAAAAGCTCAGGGCGGTGTACATTGTTTTATTCTTACAACAACCCTGTGAGGCAGATTAGGCTGAGAGTGACTAGTTTCATGGTTATACATGAAAGCTCATCCCCTGCCACAAATATTCCTAGTCTTCAAGGTATGACTGGACTCTCACACTTTTCTGCTTCATGGCAGAGAGGATTTGAACCCTGGGTCTCCCATACCTCAGTCTGACAGTCTTCATCACTATCTCCATGCTCAAGAAGGAGCATGCTACCTAAACTCTGACAGTGTGAGAGGTAATGCGCAAAGATGAAGAGATAGGTGAAATTAGCAGACAGTGAGCATGCATGGATGGAGTGATGGATGTGGAGTATCTGTTTAATTAGAAATCCAGTTTTATTAAAAGGGACTTCCTCCTAGAAAGGGATTCTTATGACTAGCCTTAAACATCATTTCTGTAAGAGATAAGGATGAACAGAAAGTAGAAAGCTTTGTTTCTTAAACCAAGTCTTTCTCTCTAAAAGTATTGACGTTCTGGCAATATCTATATTTATTTAAATACGCTCGTTTTACTAACTGGGTGTAGTTAATTTTGCTTTCCAAATTGGCATGCCTGAATACTATGAAGGCTTTTATGGAAACTACTGATGTATTCAGTTTGACCATTTGGGGCTTACAATTGTCTTGAAGGCGTACTGCAGAGACTTCATGTGTCAGAAAACCAGCTCATTTAGAGGGGAGGCAATTTTGTATATATAAATGTATGTAAATGTCAAGGCGCTGGATGCTGTCTACCTTGACTGAAAGTTGTTTAGTTTTTGGCATATCTACAGAAGTTCGATATTGAACCTGGGACCTTTTAGTATGTAGAGTTCATGTCCTACTGTTGAATAACAGGCCTTTCTGTAGTCAGCAGAGGTTACTGGCTTAGGATCCATTCTCTTGTAAGGCTAGGAGATGATCAGTAGGATCTGGTTAGATCCTAGATTTTGGGTTTAACATTCTCCCATATGAGCTGCTTCAGCTGATCTTCATGAGGCCTGAAAAGTTGAGCTGTTCAACGATGAAGTGACAGCAAAACAGCAGGATTTAGAGTTGACCTGGCCCAGGAAGATGATCGGCAGAATGCTCAGCCAATCAGAAGGCCTGGCTGAATTCAGTCAGGTGCTGCAACCATAGAGAATGAGAGGAACTTGGCACACAAGGTTTGGTTCTGCTCCATGAATACTTGAGCTGTGTGGTCCTGCACGACTGGCACTGGTTTCCTGGCAATACTGCCAGTCCAGTGGCTAGTTGGATCCTCTGAAAGAGGATGGGGGGCAATGCAGGATTGTGGTGGAACAAGAATTAAAGGAGGATGAAATGTGCAGCTCATATTGTTTTTATTGCAAGTTCGCAACAAACAGGATTGTGGTGGAACAAGAATTAAAGGAGAATGAAATGTGCATCTCATGTTGTTTTTATTGCAAGTTCGCAACAAATCTTGGCCTCACTGGTGGACCTCCCGAGGGAACCTGGTATTTTTGGCCCAACACTGGCTTCTCTTATGTTCTTATGTTTTTATTGGTCCCATCATACAGCTCCTACCCCCCCCCCTTCCTCTGGATCCCTTTTCTTTCTTTACGCAACAAGTAAATACTTTGTGGAATTTCTTGTTGGAGGACATAGTAACAGCTGTGAGCACAGACAGTTTTGAAAGCCAGTTAGACAGATTCGTGGAGGAGAGGTCTATTCGTGGCTACTAGCCATGGTGACTAAAGGGAACTTTCTGAAGAAGTTTCTTTCTTTCTGAAGAACTTTCTGAAGAACTTTCTGAAGAAGTGAGCAGTGACCCAGAAAAGCTTGTACCCGGCCACAAGTTTTGTTAGCCTTTAAGGTGCTACCGGACTCTTGCTCTTTTCTACTGCTACAGATAGAATAACATGGCTCCCAGATAGAATAACATCTTGATTTATCTTCGTATACACAGGCAGCCAACCTCTGAATACCAGTCCTAGGAGGCAACATCAGGGGAAGGCCTTGGCCTTCATGCCCTGTCTGTCTGGTTCTCCAGGGCAACTGGTTGGCTTCTGGACTAGACAGTCTGATCCAGCAGAGCTCTTCTTACATGCTCTTTCTCCTTCCAGGAACTTCCTCGTTCCAGCCCTCAGCAGCAGGCCGAGCAGCGACAGCTGAATGCTGCAGTGATGGCAGTGCTCAAAGAGGCAGCTGAAACCAATGAGAACGTGGCACGGAGACCATGGCCCTGGAAGAAGTAGCAGTGGCCAGTGGTGGAAACGGCCCGCCCCACTTGGACAGTCTGATCAGCTTGCCCGCGCTCCAGGGTCCAAAACGAGAAAGACGGTTCTTTGCTGCTGATGCTCTGGGACTGGCCAGTAGTTGCATGATGGAGCTTGGAGGGGTTTTGCGGTCTGCCTACCGAGGATATCCTCTGGTTTCCAACTGCAGCCGCCCACCTTCTCTGCTGTGGGGTACGGCTTTGCTGCTGTGGAAGAAGCGAGAGATAAAAGGGCCTTCGAAAACGGCAACAGCACCTTGGAACGGCATTCTGGGCTTATTTGTCGGTGGGCTGTCCAGTTTCTTGAGCAGTCGTGATGACGAATGGGGAGGGAGAGCTTATACGTTGCGAGGACCCATGAGGGCGGGAGATGGGTCTCTGTGCATTGCACACACTGCGCAGGATCCCCATTGCTGTGGATCAGGCCACCTGGTGCACAGCGTGGGGACCAGCTTCTGCAACAGGAGTTAGCGGCCATTTTTATTCTTTTTGTTGTCAAGTTGCAGCTGACTCATGGTAACCAGTGTTCCCTCTAAGCTGAGTTAGTGTGAGCTAGCTCACAGTTTTTTAGCCTCCAGCTCACACATTTTTGTCTTGGCTCAGGCAGGATGGCTCCAGAGCCAGCGAATTTATGCAGCAGCCGAATCGCTCGCTCACAACTTTAATGCCAGTAGCTCACAAAGTAGAATTTTTGCTCACAAGACTCCACAGCTTAGAGGGAACATTGATGGTAACCCTGTCGGATTTTCAAGGCAAGAGGTGAACAGAGGTGGTTTGCCATGGCCTGCCTCTGCGTAGGGACCCCGGACTTCCTTGGTGGCCTCCCATCCAAGTATTAACAAAGACAGACCCTGCTTAGCTTCCGAGATCAGGCTAGCCTTGGTCTTCCAGGTCAGGGCATGAAGGAGGATGTTCAGGGATGCTGGCAGAGTAGAAGCGGCACCAGTCTGCTGCCCCAAATCAGTACTGTTTTTGCCTTGCAGGCCGGTCCCCCTCCACCTGCAAAGCCGCCTTCTGGGGTTCTCTGTTTTGTCGTGTTTGCATTTCTGCTTCAAGGCAGCTTATGCGGTGTTCGCAGGAGGTCTCCTGGGCAGACACCGGAGAGACTCAGACTGGCAACATTCTGGCAAAGCTGCTGCACTGGGTGCTTTCCAGCCAAGCCCTGGTTCTGTTTCTTGGTCATGTGAGGGCATACAAGAACAGCATTTCCTATTCTTAAGCACTTCCTACCCGTAAGCGTTTCTCCCGTACTCTAATTAAGCCAGTTTGGTGTAGTGGTTAGGAGCCCAGACTCTTAATCTGGGAGAACTGGGTTTGATTTCCCATTCCTCCGCTCGCAGCTGCTGGTGTGACCTTGGGTCACTCACAAGTTCTCTCAGAGCTGTTCTCTCAAGGGCAGTTCTCAAAGAGCTCTCTCAGCCCCACCTACCTCACAGGGTGTCTGTTGTGGAGAGGGGAAGGGAAAGGAGATTGTAAGCCGCTCTGAGACTCCTTCGGGTAGTGAAGGGCGGGGTATAAATCCAATCTCTTCTTCTGATTATATTTTGCATTAGAACAAAGTTTGAGTCCCATGGCTCCTTTAAGACCAACAAAGTTTTATTCAAGGTATGAGCTTCCGTGTTCACACACACTTCAGGTACAAACAGTGTGCATGCACACAAGAGCTCATACCTTGAATACAGCTTGGTTGGTCTTAAAGGTGCCCACCTGGATCTATATTTTGCATTGCACTTTTGCATCTGGACTCCCTTCTTGGCAGCACCTCTCCCGCCTTCTGACTGAGATGGAAGGGCTCAGGGGTCTCAATTCCTACTCGTGTCTGATGGAAGGGAGCTTTGACTCTTAAAAGCAGATACCCTGGGAATCTTGTGGGTCTTTACGGTGTTGTTAGACTCGAATCTTGCTCTTCTAATGCAGACCAATCCGGTGATCCACCTGAAACTATGCACACGCCTGTTTTCCACGATTAATTAACCTTAATTTGATGAAGATAGATCTAGGTAGTTAGCTGTGCTGGTCTGAAGCAGAACAAATTTAGAGTCTAGTGCAGTGATGGCGAACCTTTTAGAGACCGAGTGCCCAAACTGCAACCCAAAACCCACTTATTTATTGCAAAGTGCCAACACGGCAATTTAACCTGAATGCTGAGGTCCTGAATACTGAGGTTTTACTTTAGAAAAAACAACTCATACATTAACTTAAGATGATCCAAACAAAGTAAGGAAAGCAATCCCAAATGCTTTCATTTACTTAAAATTATTTGGCAGAGAATTCGACACTTTAATGATGGTCTGGGCCTGGCTGGGGCGATGGCACGGGTGCCCATAGAGAGGGCTCTGAGTGCCACCTCTGGCACCCGTGTCATAGGTTTGCCACCACTGGTCTAGTGGCACCTTTAAGACCAACAAAGGTTTATTCAAGGTATGAGCTTTCGTGCACAAGGCACCCTTTTTCAAATACATTGGAATGGCAGATGAGGTTCAAACTTATAGCCAGAGAATGAACAGCAAATTAGTATATAGCATGATGATGTTTAAGTTATGCAAAGTGAAAAACTAAATAACGATAGCTAAATTAGTTTTTCACTTTGCATAACTTAAACATCATCATGTTGCATGTTAATTTGCTGTTAAGTCCCTGTCTATAAGTTTAGAACCTTACCTTCCATTCCAATGTATTTGAAAAAGTGTGATACGAAAACTCATACCTTGAATAAACCTTTGTTGGTCTTAAAGGTGCCACCGGACTCTAAATTTGTTCTGTTAATTTGATGGACTTTAAGTTAGCTGCCCCCTGAGGAATTTAAATGGCCCCCCTCGGCCAAAGAAATTCTGGCTACAGGCCTGGATACAAAAATCACATAGTAGGGTCCCAGCTTCAGTCAGCTAAACACAGTAGTATGGACCACAGTCCCTAATAACTTACCTAAGTGACTGTGAGTCATTTAGTAACTGTGAATCACTTGTCGCCAGTATAGAAAAGCTGTCTTGAATCATTCAGTTTTGCATAGTTTGCAGAAAGCCAGGAGAGCTGGCTTGAATCCTGACCTCCTCAGATGGGCTGTGACCCCAGCTTTCCAAATAAGATCATAAGAACATAAGAGAAGCCAGTGTTAGATCTGGCCAATGGCCCATCTAGTCCAACACTCTGTCACACAATGGCCAAAAATACCAGGTGCCATTAGGAGGTCCAGCAGTGGGGCCAGGACATTAGAAGCCCTCCCACTGTTGCCCCCCCCCCAAGCACCAAGAATACAGTGCATCACCTGCCCCAGCCTGTGAGTTCCTATCTATACCTTGTGGCTAATAGCCACTGATGGACCTCTGCTCCATATGTTTATCCAGTTCCCTCTTGAAGCTGTCCATGCTTGTAGCCGCCGCCACCTCCTGTGGCAGTGAATTCCATGTGTGAATCACAGTGAAGCAGCTCTAGGAAAGACGGCAGAAGAGCTGAAGACAAGCTGCAAAGTGCACAAATACACCACAGTGCTGTAAGGAAAGCGGGGAGAAGAAACTGTGCCAGGAGGTTAATGGAGGGTGGAGGGTAGGTCTATCACTGGCTCTTCGTCACACTCACGACAACAATGCAATTACCGGATTCAGAGCAGCCAGCAGATCCCCATTGCAGGCTTCCCTGCAGCATCTGGCTGGTCAGTGTTGGATACGGGAGGAGATGGATCCTTGACGGTTGCCAACTCTGGGTATGGAAATTCCTGGGAAACGGGGGGTGGAGCCAGAAGAGGACCGGGTTGAGGAGGGGAAGCACCTCAGCAGGGTCCAGTGCCACAGAGCCCACCTTCCAAAGCAGCCATTTTCTCCAGGGGAACTGATCTTGGTTGTCTGGAGATCCACTGTAATAGTGGGAGGTCTCCAGGTCCCACCTGGAGGCTGGCAACCCTGCAGCAGGGCTCTTCTGCTGTTCTTACAGTTTATAAAAATGTTTTCCCCATAAAATATGCCCGGTGTGGTTTATGACAAAAATGACAGGGATACAATAAAGCAAAGGTACGTAAACCGTTAGCAACGGTAAAACGATAACATGGATTATTTGGCCAGTTGTTGTTCAGACAGCTCATCTGCACTGAAGATGCATCAGCCTCCCACTTGGAAGGGGAGGGGGAGGGAGCACGAAGAACAGCATCTGTCGGCAGAGAAGGAACTGTTTTAAAAGGAGGATTTTGCCAAAAGTGGGACTCCCATTTCTTAGGAACAGATGGCAGAAAGTGGGCTACCCCTGGGGAACAGATAGGTGGAACAGCTATTGTATATAGGGGTGAGGGTGCTCGATATGTGTGTGCTCTAATTGTGGTCTGGCTCCTAAAGACGACTTGGGGAGGAAGGAACTTGAGCATTCACTCAGCAATGGGGCCCAATATATTAAGAACACGAGGAAGAAGAAATAGCTGGAAATATCTTCTGATAGTAATAATGACAGTAGTACCCCCTTTGAATTTCTGCAAAGTTAGATCATTTTGGGGAGATTAAAATCACAGAAATACCCATGTAGAATATTCAGCTCCAGGATGGGCTGTCCTTGTAAATATTTGGATATTTCAAATAGGGCAAAGTACAACCACTGGCTGCCTTACGTGTTCAAGTCCTTACAAATGTATGCTGTTGCTGAAACAGCTGCATGGCTTCTCAGTTCAGTTCAAGGTACCGGTTCTTACCATTCCACATGCTTTAAGTGCCCTCTCTCTATGCCAACTTTGGTCTGCCCACCAATCATTCTTGATCCTATTTAGGTGTTGTGCTCAGTCTCTTAAGATCACAGACGTTTTCCCTTGCTTTTGTGAACAAGTTTACAACTTTTTATAAAAGCATTTATACATATACATCCAACAGGCTGTTTCACGTGGATGTTTTGTAGACTGTGCAGAGAAGCAAACCCAAATTTGGCACTGAGTCGTCTCTTCTCTCCTGGCCTCGCCACCCCGCCGTTTGAAATTTCCTTTAGTCTGCCAACTTTGGCTACGGCACAGAGCAATTTAATAAAGCAGAACTGATGACTGCGGAGGCAATCGGCTGCCCGGACGTTAATTATGATGGCACACAGTACGTCCTTCCATAGAGAGGGAATAACAGTAATAGACGGTCCTAAATAAACGTGTTTCCGTTGTTCTACACGAGCCGCTTCCTGTGTTTCTGGGAGCCGCCATTTTTCTTCCAAGGGGGGGAACGATGTCGTCCAACTCCACAGAGGTTGCTCCTCCAGCCCCCCACAAGCCCCTTTTCGGGTCCTGCTGGGGCTGCCGCCTTCTGAGCGGGCTGGCGCTGATCGGCTCCGGCATCTGGGTGTACTTGGGCCCTCGCAGGGTCATGCAGCAGGGGATCCCCCCCAATATGTGGCACATCACCCAGATGACTTTCGCCATCAGTAAGTGCGGGAGGGCGGTGGGTCAAGAGCCTCTACTCCACTGGCCTCACCGTCTGGGCGTGGCATTGAGACAAGATGGCAAATAGTGCCTCTAAGCCAATGTTCCCTCTAAGATGTGGAGTCTTGTGAGGAAAAATTCTACCTTGTAAGCTCCCGGCATTAAAGTTGTGAGCAAGCGATTTGCCTACTGCATAAATCAGTTTGCTCTGGAGCCCTCCTTCCTGAGCTGAGACAAAACAGTGTGAGCCAGAGGCTAAAAAACTGAGAGCTAGCTCACACCAACTCATCTTAGAGGGAACACTGCTCTAAGCATGTGCGAATCTGCATTTTTCTTCTCGTCGTACGACTTAGGCCACATTTGGAACTCCAAGTTAAATAAGGTTTTTAGGGGCGGGGGGGGGGAGGGGGACAGGAGAAGAGCCCTGCTGGGTCAGGTCCAGGGTCGTCCTAGCGTCTTATTTCCACTTCAGCCAGATGATTCGGGGAAGCCCGCAAGCAGAACGCAAAGTTTTCCGTTATCATTTGTTCCCAGTCTTTAGTACTGAGAGGTAAAGCTGTAACCTGGTTTGCTATAATAAACAACTGTGGGTTGAGCTGCTCCAAATGTTGATTTACTGGATCGGTTTGCTTTATTGCGTCGTAATTCCCATTTCCAAACCATAAACAGAATCTAGTAAATCAGCATTTGTGTCAAGGGTATCATGTGGCTGGGCTCCTTTTCTTGAGTCACTTAATGGCATCTCTTCTCCAGTCAGTTCTGCTACTGGTACTTTTTTTCTTTTCTTGCTGCTTTTGATGTATTGTACTGTAACATAGATTTAACATGACGGGTGTATTCAAGAATCTATTTTATATCCAGCCTCTGAATAATAAACATGAACCGTTAGCTTGATTGCCTAGAAGTGCCAGTCCTTTGAGGTTAGTGTTGGTTGGGGGTCAGATATTCCTCCCAAAGTATTCATCAGTAAGTGTGTGAGGTCAAGGGGGTTGTTTTATTTAAGTTCTTTATAGCCTGCCTTTCTCACCGGGACTCAAGGTGGATTACTTGGGGTGAATCAATACCATCAGTAGGATGAGATGTTCAGTAAATAATGAAATGGGATTAGGGTTGTAGAATGAGCCAGAAGTCTAAAAACCAGACCTGAAGCAAAGCGGAGGTGTTAGCACGACACATTAAATGATGCAAAATTGCACAACAGGATCCAACCCACGGCAAACTATACACAGTGGTACAGACCAGAGTCCCCAATAATTCATCCAAGCAACTTTGTGACAGTCACAGTGCTACCCTGCCACAAATTTAATTAGTCTTGAGGCTGCTACTGAACTCTTGCTCTTTTCTAGTGCCACCGTATTGTCTGCATAGAAAAGCCCTCTGGAATAATTCAGTTTTGCATCGTTTGCAGAAAGCCAGGAGAGTGGTGAGCCTTCCTGAACTCCGCAGGCAGGCCATTCCCCAAGGTGGGGGGGGGGCCAACAGAGAAGGCACAGGTAAAGGGCAGTTGTTGATTTCGTCCATTTACAGGTTGGCGGAATCATTGAGTTGGAAGGGACCTCCAGGGGTCCTCTAGTCCAGCCGCCTGCACGGTGCAGGAAATTCACAAATACCCCCCCCCCCAACATCCAAATTGTTTGCAGAAGGCACTCAGATGAGTGAATCTGTTGTGATGGGGCATACAGGGAGAGACAGTCTTGCAGATAGGAGGGCCCAAGGCCATGAAGGGCTTTATATGTGATAGCGAATACTTTAAATTGAGCCTGGTAACTGATGGCAGGCAGGGGAGTGACTGTGGAATGGGAATAATGTGCGTGCTCCATCTAGCTCCCGCTAGTAGCCAAGTTGTGCTAGTCTGCACCAACTGGCATTGCCAAATTGATTTTGAGGGCAGACCAATGTACAGTGTATTCCAGTAGTCTAGTCTCAGTGTCACCATGGCATGGATCCAGGTGGCCAGATCAGCTGTATCAAGGTGAGGGGCTTCCTTCCTTCCTGTGTGATCCTAATTAAAGGACTCAGCTCAGAACTGGACTGCCCTGCTTCTAATATAACAAAAACAAGACAGGCTTTGGTGTGAATACAATGGGGAAAAATAAAATAAGCTCACCGAAGAAAACCACTGTTCTATGACTTTAACACCCTTGGTTGTACTTTTTATAATGCAAATTTCTTATGTTACACAACAATCATCCTTATGTAAAGTACATGCCATAAACATAGGCAAAGCCAGTAGATAATGATGTGAGTACAATACAAAATCTTGATGCAAATATTCTTGACACTGTTTTGGAATGTTTTCTCTTCAAGTCGTCTTGATAGAGCTATGAAGTGGAAAAGCAGACTAAAAAGTCTTCGTTTTTCAAGCTCCTAAATAGCATTTATCACTCCTTCGTTTAAAAATGTGAATCCAAGGAATACAAGAGATAAAGAGAAGACACTTTCCTAGGATTAACAAGCAGTTTTGGATATCTTTATCAACTCTATCTCTCTGTTGGGTGCTCATCACCAATCTCTTGACGGAGCACTGCAGGAATGACAATAATGTGGATCAACGCAACATCTCTCTAATGTCTTCCCAAAGACATTACTTTGCATAAGGATGATTTTTGTGTGACATAAGAAATTTGCATTATAAATATTATAAAAAGTACAACCAAGTGTGTTAAATAGAACTATTTTCTTTGGTGAGATTATTTTATTTTTCCCACTGCTTCAATATAAGGCTGTCTTCTAATGAGTGAGTCCATTCGTCCCGCAAACTCAGTATTCTTTCCTCTGAATGACGGCAGCAGCTCTCCAGCGTCTTCCCCAGCATCTGCTGCTGGAGATCCTTGATGTGGGGTTACACCTAGGGCCTCCTCCAGTGAGCCCCTTCAGGGAAATAGAGAGCGTGGCCACAATTGCAACAGTGGCCCCATCTGTTGGAAGGTCACCAGCATGATCATTAAGAGCTCTGTTGAAGTGGCAGATTACCCTAGCAAAATACTAATTCTCTCCCCCCCCCGGTCAGTATCTGTTGTTAAATAATGGAATTTGCTGATGATCTCTCTAATGTCTTCCCAAAGACATTACTTTGCATAAGGATGATTTTTGTGTGACATAAGAAATTTGCATTGTAAATATTATAAAAAGTACAACCAAGTGTGTTAAATAGAACTGTTTTCTTTGGTGAGCTTATTTTATTTTTCCCACTGCTTCAATATAAGGCTGTCTTCTAATGAGTGAGTCCATTCATCCCTCAAACTCCATATTCTTTCCTCTGAATGATGGCAGCAGCTCTCCAGCGTCTTCGCCAGCATCTGCTGCTTGAGATCCTTGATGTGGGGTTACACCTAGGGCCCCCTGCTTGCAGAGCTGGTGCTTTGCCAGTGAGCCCCTTCAGGGAAATAGCAAGCGTGGCCACAATTCTGAGCAGCAACAGTGGCCCCATCTGTTGGAAGGTCACCAGCAGTCATCTCCTCTCCTGGCTAAACATACCCAGCTCCTTCAACCTTTCTTCATAGGATTTATATCTGTCTCTTCCCTTGTAAGTCTGTTCTGCTGGTTATGTGCCCTGAAAAGCAGGCTTACCTTGGGGTGGGAGATTCACATCCTGCCTTTCTTCTGTGGAATTTAAGGCTGATTTTCGGAGGTCTCTTAGCCACACACTGGCCAGGCTCAGCCCTTCTGTGCTTTAATGGAATGGCTGGATTACGTTCCCTCCGACCATAATCCGGGCCTGTGAATCTCGAGGGAGTTTGGCTTGTGTTCTAGGTGTCACAGGAAGCTTCCACATATCTCTCCACATCGCCCCAAACCTTTGGAACACCCTGCAAAAGCCGCTTTTCAGCTGGCATTCAGTTGGATGAGAATAGTCAAGTCCTCCCTCCACTTCTGGGGGGGGGGGGTTTGTTGCTTATGAGCAGGGGTCATTTTGTAGAAAAAGAGGTGCAGGAGCTCATTAGCATAACTCATTAGCATGACTTATTTGCATATGCCACACCCCCTGACATCACCGGAAGTGTATCAGAAGGCAACACCCGCCACTCAGGCTCCACTGGATTGCTAGCTGGGGGGGGGACGTGCAGATCTGTCCTCAGAGAGAGGAGGGAGAGCTTGTACCTGAATAAAACTTGGTCTTAAAGGTGCCACTGGACTGTTTTGGGCCGGGGGGAGGGCCTCTGCAACTTACCTGGCTGCTTCTGGCCCTGACGGAGGGCTGCTGGGAGCAGGGGGTGGGGCTTGTTGCATGTGCCCACCCCCTGGGCTCTTTACTGCCGGAGCTCCGCTCCTGTGTGCTCCTGCAGGAAATGACCCCTGCTTATGAGAGAGGCACCTTGTTTTACTTTTTTGTGTGTGTGCCGTCAAATGACAGCTGATTTAGGGCGACCCCATGGGGTTTTCAAGGCAGGAGACATTGCGCAGTGGTCTGCCATTGCCTGCCTCCGCGTAACAACCCTGGTATTCCTTGGTGGTCTCCCGTCCAAATACTGACCAGGGCCAACTCTGTTTAACTTCTGAGATGGGGCCAGCAGGGTCAGGGTGCCTTGTTTTACTATGTAACGTTCATTTTAAAAATTATGCTACCTTAGTGGTCTTTGGATGGAGAGGTGGGGTGAAGGCCATTAAACAAATGTACTTCTCCGCTGCTGACATCCTCCCTCTGTTCTCCTAGCCAGTTTGGTGCAGCGGTTAGGAGTGCACGGACTCTAATCTGGGAAAACTGGGTTTGATTCCGCACTCCTCCACACGCAGCTGCTGGTGTGACCTTGGGTCAGTCACAGGTTTTCTCAGAGCTGTTCTCGAGAGAGCTCTCTCAGCCTCACCTACCTCACAGGGTGCCTGTTGTGGGGAGGGGAAGGGGAAGGAGATTGTAAGTCACTCTTGAGACTCCTTTGGGTAGTGAAGGGTGGGGGTATAAATCCAATCTCCTGTTGTTGTTGTTCTAGGTCTTGTCGCCTGGGGTGCTGTAGTGATTGCTGACCCAGTTGGGAAACAGAAGCGGAAAGGGGAATGAGCGGCATCACCCTGCTGGCAGGAGTCACCCACCCGTCTCTCTGTTCAGCACTGCTTTATGCCACCTACAGGAGAACAGTAAGAAGTTAGGAAGAAGAAACTCCGGAGGTCGGTGCTGATGGTGGCAGCGTACCTGAACAGAAGGAGCGCGACTGGCATCTTCCTCTCACTTTCAATTGACTGTTTTTCTTTTCTGTTTTCATACAGCCAATGTTAGGCTGCTTTGTCCCACCTGAAGAGTACAGAGTCTGTGTTCTTCTGAATAATAAAAAACTATCTTGTACCAAAAAAACCCAACTTCGTTCAAAATAAACCAGACTTAAGTTAGGAGGCATAAACAGCATGTGATATCAGAGGCTACAAACTGAGACAAGGGGGAGCTCTTATTTTTGGATGATGTCTTTTCCCACACCCCATTGACTCTGTGCCTGTAACAAGTTCTGTTTTGTTTCCTCCTCTTAAAATATTCTGGAACTATGTGGCTTAATAGGAGCAGCCCTGTGGATCAGGCCCATGTCTTCCAGCATGAAGTTTTCCCATGATGCTGTAGGGCAGAAAAGCAATAGCCCTCTTCTCCCCCCACCCCCAATAATATTTAGTGGTAGATTGCCTCTGAAGGTGGATGGTCTATTTTAGGGGTCTGCAGTGTTAAAATAACCAGCTGTGGAGGGGGAAGGGCAGGCAAAGACTTTTTATGGGCCTGAAATGCTTCTTGAAAGTACTTTACAGGTAGGGAAATGACCAACTAGGGTGCTCCTGTGTGTATTCATTATCTGTGTGTTATCATGTATGCCATTGCCTAATATAGGACTCACAACAACCAGTGTTGACTAGTAATATATATATCATTTGTGCAAACGGGTCATATTATACTAGCTCTCTGCTGACCTCTTGCTCTGAATTCTAATAGTTTGGCCCTCTGATTGTGAAAAATGTGCAGAGCCCTGGTCGCTTTTGCGTGCTCAGGCCCAGTAAGTGATAGCCCGATCCTAAATGAAACTACCCCAGTTTTAGAGCAATGTAAGTTGGAGTCCATCCTGAGCAGTGAATTCCATAGATTAGGCAGCGTGTGGCGAAGTAACATTGCCTGCCCTTGAATCAGCCACCGCTGCGGTTCTGTGGGATGACCCTGAGCAGGAGCAGAAACACGGCAACTCCCTCTCAAAGCTAAAGTCTCGTGTTTTAGAGACGTTTAGGAAACCAGTTCCAATTTCTTCAGCCACACAAAAGGGGGGGGGAGACAGCCTCGCCCTTCCCTCCTACCCAGAAAAGCAGCAGTGTGTCATGAAAAGGCAGGTGAGGTGCCCTCCTGTTTTAATCCGCTGTCCCCAGGGTTCGACGCCAGTCACACTCAATGCTCCCTCTAAGCTGTGGAGTCTTGTGAGCAAAAATTCTACTTTGTGAGCAACTGGCATCAAAGCGAGCAGTTTGGCAGCTGCATAAATTAGGTTGCTCTGGAGTCATCCTTCCTGAGCGAAGACAAAAATGTGTGAGCCAGAGGCTAAAAAACTGAGCTAGCTCACGCTAACTCAGCTTAGAGGGAACACTGGTCACACTGAATCGGTTGGTGGCGGAGGACAACGCTGTCAAGTAGTCGCAGCTGTTTTAATCCGCTGTCCCCAGGGTTCGACGTCAGTCACACTGAATTGGTGGGTGGCGGAGGACAACGCTGTCAAGTCGTCGCAGCGGCCGCATGATGTTCTCAAGGCGAGAGACGTTCAGAGGTGGTTTGCCAAGGCGTAGCAATCCCGGACTTCCTGGGTGGCCTCCCCGCCCAAGTACTAACTGAGACTGGGCTAGCCTGAGCCACCCAGGGCCAGGGCTGAGCCACAGTACAGCAATCCAGTCATCGGTCCCTCTGGTGGGGATGGAAGTGCTCTCCCCCCTCTGTATGTCGCCCATGTGTGGGAGGGACTGCAGCAGGATCCCCCCCTGAGGGCATGTCGGAAGAAGGGTTGGATTTATATCCTGCCCTTCACTCAGAGCCTCCTTCCCTTCCCCTCCCCACAAGAGACGCCCTGTGAGGTAGGTGGGGCCGAGAGAGCTCTGAGAGAACTTGTGACTGGCCCAAGGTCACCCAGCTGGCTGCATGTGGAGGAGGCGTGGGGAATCAAACCCAGTTCTCCAGATTACAGTCCGCCGCTCTTAACCACTACACCAAACTGGCTCTGTACAAGCTTCTGCCAAATATTTCACCCCTCATCACTTGGCAGGAAGCCGTACACAAGACTCTGAGCAGACCAGATGACTCACACACACCCTCCCTTACCATGAGAGCCAGGGTGCTGGGGGGGGGGGGGCATGGCTCAGTGGTAGAACATCTGCTTGGCATGAAGGTCTCGGGTTCAATCCCCGACATCTCCAGTTCAAGGAGCAGGTAGGAGGTGATGTGAAAGACCTCTGCCTGAGACCCTGGAGAGCGGCGGCCAGTCGGGAGTAGACAGGACTGCCCTTCATGGACAAACTGTCTGGTTCAAGATAAGGCAGCTTCATAGGATCCCAGAGCTGGAAGGGGCCACACAGAGGCCATCTAGTCCATCCCCCTGCTCAATGCAGGATCAGCCCTAGAGCATCCCAGCCGCTGCTTCAAGTGCTTGTCCAGCCGCTGCTTCAAGACTGCCAGAGAGGGGGAGCTCACCACCTCCCCTAGGCAGCCCATTCCACTGCTGCACAAGTCTTACTGTCAGAAAGTTTTCCCTAATATCCAGCCGGTACCTTCCCGCTCTTAATTTAAACCCATTATTGGGAGTCCTGTCCTCTGCTGCCAGCAGGAGCAGCTCCCTGCCCTCCTCTAAAAGGGACAGCCCTTCAGATACTTCAAGAGAGCAATCATAGGTATGGACTTGTTACCACAGCAGCATGACCACGCTGACATCTTCGTAGCAGTACGTGAACCACCGCCCCAACAGGCAGAACCAAGATTTTCTTTTTTGCGGTGCAAAAAGATGCGTACACCCTGGACAAGCCCACATGAGCACAAATTCCACTATCTCAAAAGGACCTGGCCGAGTCCCAACTCTCGCTCTGCCTCTCTGCAGGTAAAGAACGGCCAGAACGAGAACCAGAAGAGAAAGAGGTTTTTTTATTCATAGTTGGTCCTCCCCCCCGCCAGGGCAGCCAAGTTGCAACGCTGCCCCTCCGCACCAAGAGGCCGGGAGGGGCCCCAACCCCCCCTCCCACCCCTCCCGCCTCCAAGCGTCGTCGATTCTGAATCCCAGCCCGAATGATAGCGCTGCTCTTGGAGTCTTTGCGGGCAGAGCCGGTTGGAAAACCAAGGTGGTGGTGGTGGGGGGCTGTGAGGTAGCCCCCCAGAGGTGGAGCACGAGGGAAGGAGAGGTTCACCTCCGGCAGCGGCAAAGGAAGGAGGGCTGAGACCGAGGTTGAGACGTGCAAAGGGGGGGGTCCCTTTTCAGCTGTTCCCTTTCTTGGCAACGATCAGCACAGCTGAAGGCACCAGACCTGCGGCGAGGAAAGGAAGAAGTTGAAGGGAGAGCTTAGCGAGAACACCTTGGGAGTGGGGTGAGGACAACGACAAAGACTAGTCATTCATTCACCAACATGGAATCCAGAACCCACGCCAGCAGCTTAGGGTTCCCAGATTCCAGCCAAACAGCTGGTTTTCACTGACGCACAGTGAGCTGCAGTTTATGTCAAAAATCAGGTTATGTCGGTATTCGCTCAACTTTGTGTTACGTGACACGACAGAGTCTGATGTTAAACACAGAAACAGAGGCGACAAAGATTAGGATTCGCCTCCGGAAACTGGGCTACCCCGCTTTCTAGAAGGGCAGAGCTCACAGGGTTAGACAGCAATAACTTGACTCAGTGGGTAACTTCCCTATGTGTGCAAAACCCCCAAGAGTGTATTTAAACCACCCAGCGAAGCTTCCACGGTAGAGTGGGGATTTGACCCTGGATATCCCAGAACCTAGTCCGACAATTTAACCGCTACACCATGCTACTCCTTACATTATATTTGTGGGGAGGGCTGGATATCTTCAAGCAAAGTCTGGGCCAACCAGTCTGCCAGGGAAGCGATAGCTTTGGATTTCCTGTATGGCCTAGATGCCCCCTTCCAACTCTTATGGTTGTGGGCTCCACCAATTCAATAAGAGACTCATATCCAGCTTCTGGAGTTGCCAGAGCTAAGTCAAGTGTCGTACATCTGTGCCTCACTACTCAGACATAACAAAGATGTCAGCCTTCAAGCAACCTCCCCAACTAGGAGTGTGCAAAAAAAATAATAATCGGTATTTTTCGGCTTCGGGTATATCAGACCCAAAAAAATATTGGTAAATGCCGAATATCCCCAGTCCAATACCGGTAAAGTATCAGGACTGGGGAAATATTCGGTATTCCCAAATATATATTCAGGTCTGATATACCGGACAGGAGGGAAGGGAGGCATTTAAAAATGCCTTCTTTCCTTCTGGAAGCCGGTTTGGCTTTCTTTGTCAATTTCACTCTCCGCCAGTCAGCTGACCCAGGGTAGCTAGAGAAGGGAAAGCAGGGAGCCCAGGCATGCTTCCATGCCTGCCCTGCTTCCCCGCCCCCCCCCCCCCCCCCCGGCCACAGCAGGTATTTATTCGGTATTTTTTTTCGTTTGGGAAAGCCGAATGCACATCCCTATCCCCAACCCCACCAATTTTCATAGCAAGTATCAAACATGGCAGAGCCACTGGAAACTGAAGAATTTCTGTAGTCCATCCACCTCTCGTATTTACTCTACAAAACAGGGAGAAACAAGCCCCCTTTTCCTGGAGGGGATCCGCAGTCTGCTGGGATGCAGAGAAAAGGCCGTGGGGAAATGAGTCCGGGTGGTTTAGAGCAGGGAAGAATCCCACAGTCGGGATACGCGAAAGGGAGAACTCGAGGGGGGAGGGCCAGACTTCTAACGCGCAGTTACAGCAGGCAGGGCTGCCACTAGGGAGAAGCTGAGCCTCTCGCTCTAGTCAAGCCCTACTGAGGCCCAAGTCCCACCTGGGGCAGTGGGAGAGGGGAACCGCCCCCTCCGCCCCCCTGTAAGCCACCCCCCAGCTGTCCCCAACTCACCCAGCTCCTGCAAGGGCTTCTCCATGTCTTCCTCGGTGAAGACGCGCCGAGGGAAGCTCGTGAGGAGGATGAAGGGCTCCTCGCCACCGTCCTTTTTCAGCTCCACGTAGAGCCGGACGGCCGCCAGCTGCTCTTTGGCTCTGAAGGTCTGCGTGAGCGACGTCCCGTCCAGCAGCCTCACCTGTCAAAGAAGAGGGGCCGGGCCGACTGAGGAGGCTTGGTGTGCCAGAGGGAAAGGGGGGAGGGCCTTCAGCACCTACAAAAACCACCGCAGCTCTCTTAACAGAGATGCTGGCCCCAACTCCATGCAACTGGCCGACTGTCTGCATGGTGCAAATGTGCGGAAGGAGTGCCTGTGCGTATGTCCCTCCCTGTGATCGGTGACGCCCGCTTTCCAAATGTTGCCGATCATGGGGAGGGGAGTGTGTGCAGGCCTATCTGCTCTGCACATGTGCGCCATGCAGATGAGGCAACGGCACGGAGGTGGAGGGAGAGGCTCATGCTTGGTCTCCCTCCTCGCGCACTGAATCAATATGCGGACAGGTCATCAGCGCAAGGCTTCTGCCACCAGCTCTGCAGTAAAGCAGGGAGCATCTGCTTGGCATGCAGAAGGTCCCAGGTTCAATCCCCAGGATCTTCAGTGAAAAAAAATCTGGCAGCAGGTAATGTGTGAAAGTCCTCCGCCTGAGACCCTGGAGAGTTGCTGCCAGTCTGAGTAGACAGTACTGACTTTGATGGACTGGTGGTCTGATTCGGTACAAGGCAGCTTCATGTGCCAGAAACTCTATGGTAAACTCTATGGTAAAACTGAAGTGAATGTAAAATAGAACAAGATGAAAGGTGTGGAGAGGTCAAAATATCTGGTAAAAGGGATTCGAGGAGAAGCGTCCAGGCATTTATTTTGCCCAGGCTCCCCTTTGGCACCTGAAAGATTTTGCTAGGGCAATAAGAGTAATCTTCTCTTCAAAATTTATACTCGGACAGCTCTCAATGCTGCTTCCGAGAATGATGCGGAAACATAAATCAATGCGACAGCAGCAGAAAGGCCTCTGCTAATGACACCAATAGAACGTTCAGCCAAACTAACAGGGCACCAATACTGTCACTGGTGCAGAACTGAAAGGGATAAATCAGGAGGGAGGGAAGGGAGAAACAGTTCCTCCAATCCACCTGACGCCTAAGTAACCAAAGAAGCTTTGATCTGGTACCTCAAACTGTAAACTCCAAGTGTGTCCGGCAACCAGCCTTGGAGAGGGAAAGGCAGGGGCCACTGCAAAAGAGGTCATGTCTTAAGCCAGCAAACATCCACCGGGGTGGGGGGGCACACACCAAGCCGGGGTTTTGCAGAAGAGCTTGGGCTGGACCCAGACTAAACTGGCAACTGCCGCCAATTCCCCCTTCCCTGCACAGACACCCCTTTTTCGGGTATCATTCCTCAGCATCCCGTGTCCTCCAGGAGCAGCACTGTGTGGAGATCAGTGGGCAGAAGTGGGAGGGGGGGAGGCAGGAAAGTCTTTGGGTGATTCAGTCATGATAAAACATTAAAAATTACAATTTATAGTTAAAAGTGGACACAGAAAACCATCAATAAGACAAAAAATGCAACCCATCGAAATGGCAATTACAGTTTCTCTTCTGTCGGCCACACCGCTGTCCTGCACGGCAGGGCAGGGGGGAGTACATGGGGGCCACAGAAGAGAAAGAGAGGGTGCCGGTCTCAACCTCCCATTGCTGTCCTCAGCTGAAAGCCTGGTGGAACATCGCTGCCTTGCAGGCCCTGTGGAACTGCATCAGATCCCGCAGGGCCCTGATTTTATTTGGCAGAGAGTCCCACCAGGTCATGGCCAGAGCCAAGAAAGCCCTCTAGGGCCAGGGATCACCAGCAGGTTATTATCTGCTGATCTCAGGGTTCTCCTGGGGACTTATTGTAGGAGACAGTCCCGAAGGTACATCCTGCCAGGTGGATCCGTATCCTCCTCTCCACATGGCTGCAGTCGGAAGGTCTGAAGCCAGAAGTGGTCTGCCCTTAAGGCTACCTAAAGCACTCATGGCGCGGGAGAGGTCGGCACCAGGGCTTACACTGGCCCTTGATGACTGGGATTGCTCCCGGGGGCTGCTTGGAACAGCAAGAGGCCTGGGGCAAAGCAGTCATGCACCAAGTCAGACCGCCGGTCCGTTCAGCTCAGCATGGTCTCCTTTGACAAGCAAGTGGCTTTGACATCTGGGACCCTTTGAACTGGAAGTGCTCGGGACTGAGCCCAGGACCTTCTGAAGGCAGAACAGGTGCTCTTGGGTAACAGAAATGAGAAGCACGCATACTGGGTGTGGGATACACATTTGAGTGCCAGTGTGTGTGAACAAGATCTTGGGGTACGGGTGGACTGTAAGCTAAATATGAGCAATCAGTGTGATGCAGCGGCAAAAAAGGCTAATGTGATCTTGGCTTGTATCAACAAAGACATAGTGTCTAAATCGCCAGATGTCATAGTTCCATTGTACACCACATTGGTCAGGCCACACCTGGAGTACTGTGTGCAGTTCCAGAGGCCTCACTTCAAAAAAAGGATGTGGATAGAATGAAGCGGGTGCAGAAGAGAGCAACGAGGATGATCAGGGGTCTGGAGACCCAGCCCTACGATGAAAGGCTGAGGGACTTGGGAACAGGGGGTTGATGTAGATGGCCTATATGGCCCCTCCCAACTCTGTGATTCTTCTACTGAGCCATGGCCCTTCCAGTTTGGTCTCAGCCCAGGCAAGAGAAGCTCCACCCGACGGCCAGCATAATCAGGTCTGTGTGTGGTGCCAGAGCACCTGTGTGCGCTTCCCCTTGCGGCTGCTGTGGTCCTCGGAAATTAACTGCAGCAGAAGCAGCAGCAACTGAAATACCAGGAGAACCGAAGTGAGAGCTTACAATGCCACTAACCACAAGGTGGCCTGGAGCCAATTCCATCTCCAAAGTTCCTCTTTTGCTGCTCTCGCTTCTTCTGTCTGTACGATCGTCTTTGGTTTACTGCTCTCAGTACAAGTCAGTTACCGCAGCTGTTTTGTGAGGCTAGCATTGGTTGCAAGCGACTCTGGGAGCCTACCTTGGCCAAAAAGCAGAGCACGCGCAGAGTGTCACACACAGCTAAAATAAACATTTTCAACCAGGGGGAGGCTGGCGAACAGCAAAGCCTCGCCTCTCCAGAGTCACCTCGACAAGAGCATTTGTCTTGAGCAGAGCCCATCTTCCGCCAGAAAAGTCACGAGGCCTTCCCCTCCCGCCCGCCCGGCCACCCCTGGCCCATTACCTGTATCCTGCACTGGTCGTACTCTCGCTTGACAGGGGGCTCCTGGCTAGGTGAGGAGGGAACCGGTGCGGGGGCGATTGGCTCGGGCGGGGTGGATGCCTGGGAAGAGCTGCTGCAGCCACCGAACTGGAGAAAGGAGAAAAGAGGAAATGATTCAAGCTGCCGTACACTAAGTACTGATCCCTGCGGTACCCCACTGCTTACCCCCCTCCACTGAGAGAACTGCCCATTTATACTCACTCTCTATTTTCTATTAATTAGCCAGTTTTTGATCCATGATTTTTGAGCTTACTTAGGAGCCTTTGATGAGGAACTTTATCAAAAGCTTTCTGGAAGTCAAGGTAAACAATATCTATTGGATCCCCCTTGTCCACCCGACAGCCAGCATAATCAGGTCTGTGTGTAGTGCCCGAGCACCTGTGTTCGCTTCCCCTTGCGGCTTCTGTGGTCCTCAGAAATTAACTGAAGCAGCAGCAGCAGCAACTGAAATACCAGGAGAACCGAAGTGAGAGCTTACAATGCCGCTAACCACAAGGTGGCCTGGAGCCAATTCCATCTCCAAAGTTCCTCTTTTGCTGCTCTCGCTTCTTCTGTCTGTACGATCGTCTTTGGTTTACTGCTCTCAGTACAAGTCAGTTACCGCAGCTGTTTTGTGAGGCTAGCATTGGTTGCAAGCGACTCTGGGAGCCTACCTTGGCCAAAAAGCAGAGCACGCGCAGAGTGTCACACAGTCTCCAGGCCTTCCCCTCCCGCCCGCCCGGCCACCCCTGGCCCATTACCTGTATCCTGCACTGGTCGTACTCTCGCTTGACAGGGGGCTCCTGGCTAGGTGAGGAGGGAACCGGTGCGGGGGCGATTGGCTCGGGCGGGGTGGATGCCTGGGAAGAGCTGCTGCAGCCACCGAACTGGAGAAAGGAGAAAAGAGGAAATGATTCAAGCTGCCGTACACTATCCCACCTGACCAGAGAGTTTCCCTTTCATTGCTCTGTGCACAGCAGATCCAGCCACGGAGCCATCAGCGACCAACGGTCTGAATTCGTTCTGTTAGGCCGGGCTTGATAGCATAAGCAACCCAAGCTGCTGTTCCTTGCAATGTTATTTCCAGAGCGTCAATGAGTCTATTTAGGACTCCGTGAAGGAGCCCCCTTTTTCCAGTGAAATCTAGGGCCCAGAGTCAAGCATGTTGAGTGCCTGAGCTAAGGGCATCTGCCACTAGGAGGGCTAGCGCTTTCCCAAGGATACAGCATGGCCTCCAGCTGTGATTTTCAGAAGGGATTATAAAGCTTTTTTTTTTTAGACGATACCACGTTGAGCTCAGACAGGGGCACCTCCCTTGAAGTTAAGGGAAACAACCAAAGTTAAAAGAAGAGTTCCCGCTTGCAATTTCGTGTGTGTGTGTGAGAGAGAGAGAGGGAGAGAGAGAGAGAGAGAGAAGTGTTGTCAAGTTGCTGCTGACATAGGGTTTTCAAGGCAAGAGGTGGTTTGCCATGGCCTGCCTCTGCATAGAGACCCTGGACTTCCTTGCTGGTCTCCCATCCAAATACTAACCAGGGCCGACCCTGCTTAGCTTCTGAGATCTGACAAGACCGGACTAGCCTGGATCACCCAGGGCAGGGGGACAGTTTTAGCTGCCCACAATTAGCGAGGGCTTCCTGGCTGCTATCTTCACCATTCTCTGTCTGAAGGGGAAACCTGGCCCCGTCTAAAAAGGTGATGAAGGCGGTGATAGATGGGACAACTGCGAACTTCCTGAAGAGGCCTTCCCTACCTCTGCATCACCACCAGCTAGGAGGTGCCACTCCACCTACCCCTCTCTTCCCCACCCCTACACCAGGGCTCTGTGGATCCTTCCTCCTCTGAGGATTCGAACAGATCCCTGTGATCCCTGCCATCACTGCCGGGCACTAGAGACCACAGTGGACCTCAGGAGGACAATTCAGCAGCATGGATCGGCTGGTTGAGAACTGCCCAGTTCCACCGAAGGTACTGAAGCCAAGTTCTGTCATGACACTGGATTTCAGGTCTCCACTGCATTAGTAAACGATCTCACAGAGCACCTGAAAGAGCTGCTGAGGGGCAACCCCTGCGCAAGGCTGCTTTGGGCCGCAGAAGTGTCTTCTTGGGTTGTTCTGTTTTTGCATGATGACAAGTTACCAGAAGGGTGTGGAAGAGACTCTCGGGGGCGGGGGGATTAACGTACAAATCGGTCCATCTTCTAGATAAAGGAAAGTTGTCACCCAACACTTGACATGGGAGGCTGCAGTACACTTCTCCGGCAGTAGGTCTACTTGCAGGCAAGTGCCTTGGCTGCTCTTTGGGAATGGCAGGCTGGATGCTGAATCCAAATGTCATTTTCAGTGGAAAAGTGAGACTCGAGCACCTTACAGACCAAGAAGATTTCCAGGGTAGAAGCTTTTGAGAATCTAAGCTCCCTTCATCAGATACTCTCAGGAAATCTTGTTGGTCTCTTAAGGAGCGACAGGACTCGAATCTGGCTCTTCCGCTGCAGACCGACATGGCTACTCAACCTGAAACTATCTTCCATTGGTGTAACTCACACCTGCAAGGCAGGAGGGTTGGCTGGTTCCTGGCATGCTGTGCCTTGGGGACAAGGGATGCTCAGGAACAGCATGGGGGGGGAATCAGCGACACCTGCCCTTCCTCCCACTAGTGGGAAACAACCTTTGAATCCAACCCTGTTGTGTCTCACACTGCGTGACCCACACAGCCACAGAGACTCTGATCTCCCCCTCTCACTGAGGAACAACAGCAGAAACACCCCCTTCCTACGCACACCCACCTTCTTGGCTCTCTCAGCCTTGTCACGTTCAATCTTCTCTCGCACACGCTGCCTGGGGACAAAAAGAGCAGATTTAATGGAGGCAGTTGTAAAAACAAGTACGCTACCCCGTCAGGCTCAGTCTCTGGAATACAAGAAGAGCCCTGCTGGATCAGACCAGTGGTCCATCTAGCTCAGCATCCTGTCTCCCACAGTGGCCTCAACCAGCTCCTCTGGAGGGCCAACAACAGGGCAGAGAGAGGCCCCTTTTGTTGCCCCCTGGCTCTGGGATTCAGAGGCTTAGTGCCTCTGAAAGTGGAGGTTCCTCACAGTCAGCATGGCTAGTAGCCGCTAATAGACTCATCCTCCGTGGATCTATCTAATCCCCTTTTAAAGCTGTTTATTCCTGTGGCCATCACTATATCCTCTGGCAGCCAATTCCACATTTAATCAGTCTCTGTATAAAGTAGCATTTCCTTTTCTCCGTCCGTCCTCCTCCTCCAGACACGCAAGTCTCTCTAGATTTCAAAGTCTCCCATATACTGAGATCAGCCTTTTCAGTGGCTTCTAAACCTCTTCCAAGACGGCAGCGCCCAACACAGAAGGCCCAGGGAAGGTGTCCAGTATCCTGGAGAGAGGCAGGCCGTCTTTCCTCCCGTGCTCCTCCAGTCACAACATTCTCTCCTTCTTCAATACACCCCTCCCCAAAGCCCTATTCCCTTCTCTTCCTCCGCAGTACACCCGTTACCCTTCCCCTCACCCACATGCCTACCCCCTAAGAGTTAACTAGAAATGTCTCATTAACTGAAATTATGTTGGGTCACCCAGCATTTCCAAATGCAGGCTCGGGATGGTCTAAGTCGGCAGACGAGTTACGTACAGCGAGAAATCCGTTCACTCTCTTCCTTGGTCCAGACAGCCCCTCGCTCCCCCAAGCCCTGGATCGCTTAGGAACGTAACTCTAGCTTTTGTCTAGCAAGCCACAGACCAGCAGGTGCTTTCTGGAGGAAGAAGGAGGGGAAGAGGAGAGTTTCCCCTCCCGGGCTTTAGTCCAAGTTGTTCTCTAACTTCAGCATGCGAAGCAGGTGCCTCTTCACTAAGTGACAACTCCTGCCCAGCAGCAACACAGGAAGGTGCCTTATGCCCTTGGCCGATGTAGCCTGGTTAGGTCCAGTGAGTCCTGCTTTGTGGTGACATCTTTCTCTCAGGAGATACCAGAGACTGAACGGGGGGAATACCTTCGCCACATAAATGCGTCACGTGAAACAGACACGAGGCTGCCTTGTGCTGAATCAGACGTGGTCCATCACAGCCAGGAGGTCTGCCTACTCAGACCAACAGTCGCCCTCCAAGGCCTCAGGTCTTTCACATCACCCATGACCTGATCCTTTTCCACCGGAGACGCCAGGGACCGAACCTGGGACTTTCTGCATGCAAAGCAGTTGCTCTTCCCCTGAGCCCCGGCGGCCCATTCCTTTGCCTAAACCCACAGCTGGGCTTCCTGCCGTCCAGCCCGTAGACGCGGCCTCCCCGCCTCGGGGGCTAAGCCGTTCCCTCCCCCTCCCCGCAGGGCTCTCACTTGGCCAGCTTCTCCTCCATCTTCTCCTTGCGCCTGTCCTCCGCCAGCTTCTTCATCTCGTCCTCCTGCAGCTTCTGGCGGATGAGGGAGAGCTCCTGGCCCTGCTTCCGGCGCTGCTTCTCCCGCTCGATGCTCTCCCGTTTCTCCCGCTCCTCTCGCTCCCGCTGCTTCTGAGAGATCAGCTCCATCATCCTGGGCAGGCAGAGGAGGAGTGGGTCACAGGGCCACTTGGCACCCCCCTGGGCTCTCCCAGAACCCCTGCCCCAAGCCTGCCCTTTTACAGAATAATCTCCCTTTTCCAAGATAACGTCCAGAAAGCACGGAAGATATTTGAAATGGGCCCTAAGGGCAGTCATTAGTGCCTTTGCGGGGCCGTTTAATAGAGAGTTCCAGGATCCTGTGTTTGGGGCAATGGGACAACCTCACGTGAACACACACAAAGCTGCCGTGTACTGAATCATAAGGGTGTCAGAGAAGCTGTGCTGAATCAGGCCAGTGGCCCCCCCAGTCCAACACTCTGTGTCACACAGCTGTCAAAATCCAGGGGCCACCAGTGGGGCCAGAACTCCAGAAGCCCTCCCACTGTTGCCCCCCAAACACCAAGAATACAGAGCATCATTGCCTCATACACAGTGTTCTGTCTATACGTTGTGGGTAATAGCCACTGATGGAGGGGCTGTGGCTCAGTGGAAGGGACTCTGCTTTGCATGCAGAAAGTCCCAGGTTCAATCCCTGCCATCTCCAGTTAAAAAGAACCAGGCAGTAGGTGATGGGGAAAACTTCTGCCTGAGGTCCTGGAGAGCTGCTGCCAGTCTGAGTAGACAAT